CAAGAATTCAAGTTGTGTGTTTATATGTATACTTGTCTTCATTTTATCAAGTAAAATATACTACGCAAAGTTGATAGATGTGCTATAATATGTATGTACGTACCATGTATCATGTTCGACAAAACTGATTTCATCTAAACATCATCCACGTCTCCTTCTCAAGTGACATTTATTGCCATAGCATGCACCATGTATATTATTCTTGTACTTATTGAGTGGTCTTAGTAAGGGCTCTGCCCCTCAATATTCCCCGGAGGTTTGTAGTTGCAGGTGATGAAGATGCCGCCGCTATTGCAACGCACACGGCCGCACCCGATGGCCGTGGACGAACGCCACACTACCTGCGTGTAGTGGCCGCACACCTTGTTAGGGGCGCACTTGTTGCTGTTGTGGTTGTAGTACTGCTTCTCGGAGACCCAGTACTTGATGGCGTCCGCCGCCGTGTAGTCGCGGCCGAAGCCCGAAAAGATGTTCTCGCCGTACGGCCCGCCGGAGTGCACGAGCTGGCAGTCGGCCGCCCGCTGGTTGGCGTAATTCTGGGCGTACGCCGCGACGGTGCTGTCCCACGACACGGGGACGACGCCGACGGCGGTGCGGGCGGCGTTGTGGGGGCTCACGAAGTCCTGGGGCGAGTTCTGGGCTAGGGTACTGGTGCAGGCCATGGCAAGAGCCACGGTGCAGAGCATAGCCAAAGCTGGGTTTGAGGACCTCATTCTACTCGATCGCTTGCCTCTTCTTTTACTAGACTCTGAGATCATAGCTTGGGTATTTATAGACGATAGCGGTGCGGAAACTTTCAGGCTTAACGTGGAAGGAGGGCTGCCCGGAATCATAGAAGTCCATCTTGCCACAACGAGATGCTATCCGTCTGCATCGTAGTGGAAATTAAGGAGATGAGTCCCTGTCTGTCGTTTCATGGAAAAATGACGCATATCCTACTTTTCCATCCAGCCGTATCCAATACTTCTACTCAACCTTTGTATTCACTGGTCTCCATGGGAAAGCAAATCTCAGTAATTACGTAACAATTGAGGACGTGATTCATGCATGCATGTGCCAGGTGATCAACAGTACTGTGCTTACGAAGTGGCAAAGAAGGGGGACGAGGGAGCAATAGAAGCGGGTAGCGATGAGGAGTGCTCCCGTATGATTCCCGAGTAAACTTTTATACATATTAACCTCAAGAAAGGGAAAATAAATAGTTGCCTTGACAGAGACAAATAGTCATCTTTGTGATCTGTACGAGTTTGAAGGCTAGAAGAATAACATTGACTTGTTGACCCAAACACATTTGATTGACGAGGGCACATTGAGTGGTTTCTATTTGGGTTGAAGATTTGTTGATCTTGAGGTTGATTTTTCTGTCGCCTTTATGGGTGTGTGATGACTTAAGCAGAATAGTATCGGGAGAGAATTTGTTTGGCGCTGATATTGCTATATTATATAATTTTATTTAATTAGATAAGATATATTATAGATATAATTAAATTTTAATTATAATTATCGATTAATAGAAAAAATTTTAATCATATTAGGATTTCTTAGAAAATAACCTTGGTGAGAGAAGATCTCCTAGTTTCTTATACTAAATCTTATTAATTAGATAGGAGTTTATAGAGATTTAATTAGTGACTTAACGTTAAGTTATATATTGAGACATTATATATCTTTTTTTTTCTCTCCTTAATCATCTTCTCTTAGTCCCTAATTTAATTTTATTATTTAAAGTGGACCTTGAATGATAGAAAACGAGAAGACGAGTCTAGTCTTTCTTGCATATTGATATCTTTGCTTCTTTTGGATCGAACAATGGTGTAGTTGCAATCAGATAAAAAATTTCTAAAGAGCATAAAATAGTATGCAATCATAATCTTTGATCTATCATTATTGGGTCTGTTTTTGGTATTAAAGTTTTTCACATAAGAGCATAATTATAGTTTTTATAATTACAATTAGTATCAGAGGTATATTTTGAAATGAAATATCTTATATCATAAAAGTATATCAAATTTATTTTATATTTATATTTGTTCATTAGTACTCTTCGCTTGTGAAAAAATATTGTCAATTTTGATTGTATGATATTTAAAAGATTCATCTGTATTATCGATATACTTTTCTATATCGTCTCTATATTTTTTTGTGTTCCTTGCCTGTGTTTGCAGGTGGAATCATGGCAAAAGTAGGATTGCCTGTGTTAGTAGCTTATTGTCCATAGAAGCCCTATTAAGGGCGGTTGCCACCATGGGCAACAGTTGCCTTGGGTGGTATTGCTCCAACCTATGATGGTAGGATTTGGCCGCAAGCGGTGATGCACATACAGTGGTGGCAAGCAGTGATTTGGCCGCCTACAGTAGCACAGGAAGTGCTGCTATTGGTTACTATTGATGGAAGCAGTGGCCCTACATGTGGCGATTGCCACCGTGGGCAGCGATTGCATTGGGTGGTGTTGTTACTACGTGTGGCGATGCTACGGTGCGTCGATCGATGGCAAATAGTGACAGAAGGAAGTGTTGGGCTGACAACCCATATTCAATTAAAGGTGGGCTTTATCAACCCATAACTCATCCCTTCTTAATTTAATCTTAATTTATATTAGGGGGGTGTGGTGGCTATAGAAAAAGGCAGCAACTAGGCAGTTTTTGACGGCTACGGAATTCTAAAGAAAAGAGGAATTCCAAAGAAAAGGAGGAGAGAACAAGACAGAAAATGAAAAGAAAGAAAGGAAAAAAAATAAGGACAACACAGAAAGATTGTTCTCGATCATCTAATAGTACTTTCATCTCAGGTTAGATCAGATCTACAGTAGATTCTTACTGTGATTACTTGGGGAGAATTATGGAGGATTTAGATACTATACATAGTGACGTGATCTTTGTATCCCATTTATTCTTTTGTGATTGTTGTAAGGGTTTTGGGCAAGAGATTGAGATTTGTATATTCATTATTATTATAGTGAATTATCTCTAGTTTGCCTAGTGATTTTTACCCTTCACATTGAAGGGGTTTTCCATATATATCTTGGTGTTCTACTTGATTGTGGTTCAATTTAATTCCGCTGTATGTTATGACATGCTAGTATTTGTTCTAGTAGTCGCACAGGGCTAATGGCGTCACCGAGGGTTGGTAGATGAACTCTATCGGGCTACGTCATGCAGCTCATGGTTGCACTGTGTTAATGGAACGTAACGACGACTATGAGAGAAGATTTTAGGGCTTTTATTTTTATTCAGTAAAAGAACATCTTTACCCTTTATAAATCATATAATTTTAATCTGTGTCCTTTAATTTATTTTTTTTAACTTTACCCTTCAAAAACCAAATAATTTTAATATGTATCGTTAGTTCATTTTTATCGGTTGTACTCTTCAAAAAAATAATTATCTCTGACCTATGCCCTTACCTACAAAATTACTATTATGCCTTTATGAAATTAATTATTTCCAATTGATATCTTTGTTATAATTTTACCTTTCTGATTTAATAATATTATCTCAATAGTTATAATTCAATAATAATAGATTCTATCACAAAACCCACTGAATATTTTTATCAAAATTAATTGAAAAAATAAATTATAAATATTTTATTTTATTTTTATCCATATGATAGAGAACGGTAGAGAAAGTAGTGCATGAAAAGCTCTTCTATTAACTACACTACTTCTCCTCCTATAACCCATCACCGGAGCAAGAAGACAATGAGGCTCCAAAAGTCCCACTACCTGGTGAATAGCCCCTTCTTATGGAAGAACCAGCCAGGGATATCCAAGATCACTCCACATGCTGAGGAGCGCTCTGTAAAATTTCAAGGCTCTTATTGGCTGAAGCTATTTTATAGAGGCTGAAGCACCATCATATCATCTGGCCTAAAAGAATTTTGATAAATGACATACAAGACCCAATCGTATCTTGTCACTAGATCTGCCCCAGGGTTGAAGTACTATGCTTCAGTTTTGATATATGTTAAAAGAAAAAAGAGAAGGAAAATAAGAGGCAAACTGAGAGTGATTTGTCAAAAATGCCTTTAAAGCTTCAAATAAATCAGCATGCATCCTGAGAGGCTAGCCAAATGTTAAAGGCTGCATCCATGGGATATTTCTTATGGTGTTATATATGAGCATATTAGTTGCAACCTCTACAAGATAAAGTGAGAAAAACTTTTGATTATGTGTTTCTTTGTATTTAGGATGACGGATGACACAGAAAGGGTTTTGAGGATTCATTGAAGTTATTAAGATGATATGCTCAAGTACCTAAACCAGGATGCATGACATGGACAAGGCCTGTTACTTATGGGTGTGGGCTTCAAATCTTTGGTGTCAGCATTTTTCTTCATCCAATACATGTGAACTTTGCTACAAAAAGTTTCTTCTTTTTTTTCTTTCTAAAACCAATCATATTGCAACTCTTCTGTTTTGTGCTTGCAGAGAAATTGGGATGGTGGATTGCTAGATATCTTTCTCTTTGAGAATATTACTCTGTTAACTTATCAATTTTTACAACATCATGTGCTTACATGTTTCATTGCAATTTGAAGAGCAAATGGATGACACAGATTTAGATTCAGCTTCCTTAATATTGATTGCATCATATAAAAGTCATTTAAGTAGTTGCAAGTATCCTTGTGCTTTTAACTCCCTGTTGCATGGTCTTCTTTTGATTCCTGTTCAAGGTTGTTTAGCAGATTGACAAATCAAGGGTAAAGATCAGGTATAGAAAAGCTACCTACAGCATAAGCTACTGTAAGCAAGCTTTGCTTTGTTTTCTTTCCCCATATATGTACAAATGTGATGATCATACACACT